CAGATGACCCGAAACAGAGCACTGCTGATATGACAGCTTTTGTGAGTTCCAGTTCAACTATCTTTCTTATTTTGTTCATTATAAATTAATTGTACTACTTCTACATGGGCATGTGGATGAGTGTTATGCATGTAAAGATTAATGACTGTGTGGCCCTATTTGTGTCTAGTAGTCTGGAGAAAACAATTTTATATATAACCATGTTGGGCAATGAAACCGTTCAAAATGAGGGTGAAAAAATATTTAGAACTGAACGATGAAGAGGTTATCAATTAGTTAATGTTGATGAATTCGTTGGTTTGCCACTATTCCCAAATGTAGGTATTTTATTGGTTAATCAATCATTGGCGTTTACTTTATTCAGGGATATACTAGGTAGTTTGATTTAAATGTGTATGTGATAATTTGTCACTCCATTTGCCTTTGCTCAATCTCTGTTTTGGTTTTTGCAGGTACAAAATCTTCTTCAACAGATGGTGAGTTTGTTATGTGTTTGTGATGACTGACTCTGTTCAATGGATTGTATGGCTTATGTTTTTTAATTTTGCAGCAATCCAGGTTCCAGACAATGTCTGACTCCATCATCACAAAGAATATCCTTTGTTGTTTTGCTTGCCAATTACAAATTGATATACATATTTATTTTACATTAGTTTTATGACTTATCTTTAGCTAGTTTTATGATTACATATTAGAAAACAAATTTTTTGAATTGGCCCGTGCTAGCAGTTGTTCTTTCAGTAGTGAAGCATGTTCATTTGACATATGTTTTTTTTTTCTTTCTTTAATCACATTTGACTTATTCTATGTTGGAGATTTTGAATTTCTTTTCAAAGGGCTGCAATGGAGATAGATATGAAACTATTATTATTAGGTGTTGCTCAAATATAGAAACTTAATTGATCTCATTGATTTGAATTATGTTGTTACTTGTTTCCTTGACCACCATGATGCACTCGATGAGATGGGCAATAGGATCGATGAGTTGGAGCAGAGCATCAATGATCTCAGAACCGAGATGGGAGTCGAGGGCTCACCATCTCCTTCAGCCCCTTCGAAGTCAAATATCGAACCCAAGTCAGCTGATGATTCAACCAACGAGTAGCCACGGCATG